GTTTCGAAGAGTCATCAATCAGGATTATTACATCGATCCGGTCTCTCAAGGATAGAGGATTCGGAGGCGATCGAAACAAATGTCACATGATTGTGCGAATTTGCATGACTTGCTTTCATAATAGAATTAGTGATCAAATTTTTATACAGACAGAAATTAAAAGACAGAAATGACAGAATATTATATGAAAGTTCAATCACAAAATAAATTTTAGTACTTCCAAAAAAAATGATTATAAACTTTTATTTTAAAATGTTCAAACTGCAGAAAAATCGAAATATATTTAATAAGCCAACGATTGCATTATCATTGTGATATCTTTACATTATGCTGTAATCTTCCTTGCAGCCAAAATTTCTGCTGAATCATAATCATTCTCTATATTTTCTAATACTACAGCGCGCTATGAATCAGTGTAATGACTTTTCGTAAAGAAAAAAACATAATTAAAATGATCGATATCTTCTTTAATCCGATTGAAAATATTAACAAATACCTATATGATTTACGATATTATTAATCGTTTTATAAAGAAAAATTTTCAACAACGCGCGGTTTGCATTCAACAGAAATTTATCAATGAAGTCATGTATGTGAATGACATCGGAGCGCAACGCGCAACACGATCCACCTGCCGCGGAGAACAGTCGGCGCAACGTCGCGCGTCGTTTACGTCGTACGCGACTCGACTCGTCGCGATTGGCTAGTCGTTCTGCGCACGTTGTCGTGCTCACGAAGGCCGTGACGTCAGGGTACCATCGGCCAATGCCGTCTCGCAGATCCGCAGTGTTGGTCGGTGTTCGTAGTGAGAGCGTGCGTGCGATACGCGAGAGTGTGTGCGTGCATTCGATGGGTACGCGAGAAGCCACGCGGAACGGTGGAAACGCGAGGACGACCTGGACGACGGAGCCAGCATCTTGACTCGCGTGACGACGCGTCGCGAAACGGCGTCAGATACGCGGCGATATGTTAGTCGAGATATACGTTTGAAAGGGACAGTTGGTCGCGCGCGTGCTACGCGTACTTGCAATTAGTGGAACGGTGGTCAGGAGGGAAAGGGAGAGGAGATAGGGGAACTGTGGAAAAGAGCGAGAGCCAGAGCCAGAGTCGAGAGACTTGGTGGTGGAAGAGGAGGAGGCAAATGCGTCTGGCTGTGGCGCGACACACACTCACACACGCGACTGACGCGACGGGAGCGAACGGGAGATCGCGGGGGTGAGGGAGAGTAGATATAGCGTGGAGTATAGTATCGCGCCGCACCTGACAGTCCACGCGGCCCGGCCCCCGAAAAACATTCTCGCCACGCTATATACACGCGAGGACCGCGCCGTGTTTCACTCGGAACGCGAGCGCCATTGGCAATGTCGGGAAGTGACAGCCCAACATTCTTTCACGGCCAGCCCTGGTCCAGCTGGATCGAAAGAATCGGACGGGACAAGCCGCTGAGTAAGTGCGCTCAATCTGTCCATCGCGACGCCGCAGCCGCACGCCCGCGGCCGCAGCCGCGACGGCGACGGGCGTCGGAGGCGCGCGTACCTAACCTCACTTCGACGCTCCTTTGTCCGGTAGCGGGTAGCGCTGACGGTAGCGCGACACACGCGCGCGCGCGCGCACGCCTCATTGCAGGGGGCTATGTCGAAGGGGGTGTTGTGTGTTATGTATCATCTATCAACATTCAACGGCACGGGGGTAACACGCTGCCAAATTTTCTCGTGTGCTCCTCGTGCGCCCCCGTCGCCACCAAGTTCTCACAATGATTTTCAGGACACTGACAATTATGTAATTCGAGCGAGCGTCGATCATTTCACGAGAATTAAACGATCGGCAGATCGTTTATTAATCGATTGATGGTATTTCTGAGATACATTGTTGTTGAAAGAAAGAGAAAGCGTTAATCACGCGATATACATTTTTCTTCCGTAGATTTCATCCTCTTGAACTTTGTACTACAGTTGTTATTATGCATGTATGCTAGATGTAAATAAAAAGAATAAAGTTGACTTGTCTATAAAGTTCTGTGTTCTTTATTTCATATTTATATTTAAAAGCTCAATATAATACTTGCTGAGGAAATTTTTAACATTTTTATTAGTTATGTAGAGAATCTTTTACTCTCTTAATAATATATGAGTGTGGATAATGCATCTTTTATATAAATAATACTTTAATAATATTTTTGAGTGTAGCTGTAGGATAAACTTTTTAATGTAAATAATATTTTGGACACGTAGAATATTACAAGCATAAATCTCCTATGGATATATTTGTGATTTATTAAAAAATAATATTATATGTATAGACATATAGACATATATAATTAAAATATTTCATGTTTTATTAAATAATATATAAAATAAAAATTGTTTTTTTTTCTGAATACACAAATATCTTATTAATTGATATAAGATACTGTTATGAACAACATATTGTTCCGTGTTTCAGGCGATGAAGAAACAGAAGTCCAACCATCAAACTCAGTCACACGTCTTTCTTCAGATGGTAATTACTAATTTTTTCAATATATATTAAAATAATAATACGTACAATTATATTATACGTATTATTATTTTAATATATATAGATTTATATATATAATATATATAGTAGATTGTTACTTTTTTCTTTCTCTCTCTCTTTCTCTCTCACATGTTTACCATAACACTAATTTAGTGAAACATTTTTCAGATATCGATTTGTATGGCTTTTGTCCAGAGAGGGACGATTTCTATGGAGTAGTATGTGAAATATGCGATGCCATAGTGAAACCGCAAGCTCTCATTCAACATATAGGTATATATTCATTTTATTGATTATTATAATATAGTGTAACGAAGTATTATCAAATTGCTTTATGTTTAACATAATTTATTAGTATATAAACAGAAATGCAGATCTATTAGTAACAATAAGACATAATATAATCAGAAATTTCAATTATTTATTAAATGTAGGGTTAAACATAAAGCAAGTTTATTTCTGATTTTGTTATTTAATTATAATCCAAAATTATTATTTGGAGGATTTAATAGCACATAATTCAAAACGCAAAATTTTTGTGTGTTTTTAAAGTGAGCAATTGCTTATCAATTTATACATGAATTTGAAAATTTTATTTAATATATTTAAATCAAAGTTATTGAATTTTAACTTAAAGAAATCTTTTTATTATATATTATAAAAGATGTATATACAACAGTGATTTCCATTCGCAGCTATGAGATTTAGATAAATTGTCAAAATATTTGCAACTCATAGTATTTTGTATACGTGTATTGCAGGTATTAAACATGTAAACACATCTTCTATTTTGCCACAGAGTGTCGCCATTCCGGCATGGCAAATTTTCCGCCACCCACGACCCCAGTCACAAAACCGTCCATAAAAACTCCCTTCTGCAAGGTCTCCAAGCTGAAGAGAAACACTCAACCATCAGTTCCTTCAGTTTCTGCTTCAATTCCCATCGTTGGTAGCGCGAAGCTGAACCACACGACCGTTAAGCGTACTGCGGATCAGGCGAACTTGTCTGCAGGTGGCTCTCTGCCGATCTCCTCGTCACCCCGATCGCCTCTTGAATCGATCACGGTACAAACTACCTCTTCTAACATAGCTGGTTCTTCGAATATTATCAGTGCATCTACAAGCAGCGGAGGGAGTCCGAGCAAAAGCCCTGGTCCCAGCAGTAACAGTGGCAGCAATCAGCCTCGTCGGAAGAGGCTTAAAACGGATCGCTCGTTGCTCAAAGATCGCGAATATGATCCCGATCGGCATTGCGGTGTGTTGAACGAGGAGACCGGCAAGCCCTGCACCAGGTCACTCACATGCAAAGCGCACACTGTCTCGCTGCGCCGAACGGTCGTCGGTCGCAGCAAGACCTTCGACAAGCTCCTCGCGGAACATCGTGCCGCGAAGGAGCAGCCGAATAACGGCGGTAGCCGGCAGACAACGAAGGTGACGGTCTCTGGAACCGTCACTGTATCCTCGGCCGTTACCGCCGCCGCCGCCGCCGCCGCCGCCGCCGCAACCGCCACCACCGTATCCAACCTGAATAATCCTCTTGCTCCCAACACTCCAGTATCTATTGCCGACTCGGAAACGCCGAGCTCACCGCCTGTACTATCGTTACCGGACACGTATCCACTGCCAAAGGTAAGCAAACCACTGCTTTCTTATATTCGTATAATTTTGTATTTAAGATATTTATATATATATATATACATATATATATATATATATAT